GGAAGTGATAACAGAGCTGTACGTTTTAATTTGTTTCCAAAACCCCGCAGTCAGGACATGCTATATTGTATTTAGATAGAAGCTAGCGAGCTAACTCCCTGCTAACTTCTAACTCCGTTAAATGTCATAAATTCCGTTTTCATGGATGCCTGGATGTTAAACTCAATTGTTACACCTGGTAGAGCAGAACGCTGATCATTTTATTAAAGATGAAAGACTTTAGACAGTTTTTCAACTCACAGTAATCCATAGTGATCGTTTGATATATGGACCTGCAGCGGAGTTTAGACCCAGACACGGCTAGTGACGTCAGACTGAACAACCGGATAATCCTGTGTCTCTCTGTGCTGCGTGTGTAAATAGATGCACCTGTTTTGGCGGGAAAAAGTGCACAGGCTCTCTGATTGGTGGATTCAAATTCAGCAGCTCCCAGGCTGACTGAGCTAGAAACTTACTTCTCTCTCCCTGTGTGTGTGTGTGTGTGTGTGTGTGTGTGTGTGTGTGTGTGTGTGTGTGGTGTGTGTGTGTGTGTGTGTGTGACAGAGAGAGAGAGAGAGAAGGCCTTTTAATGGGATGATCTCATTCTAAGATTCAAATTCAATATATTTAGACTGGTTGACTGAATTGGATCTTGTGTGTGTGTCTCTCTGTGCATGTGTGTTTCCTTATGTGTACATATTTCTGATTGTGTGGCTGTTATATATTTTTTTGCTGATTTTTTCATTTAACAAGTATATTTGAGGGACTCTCAGCATGTTCAGCATTTTTTCAGCTGTCCATTTTGCTTTTCCAATTTTTCTGTTTAACTTATTACTATTGTGCTAAATCATACTATTTCTGCTATTTTATAAGATTTGTGCTTAATATACTATTTCTGCTTTTAATAGGATTTGTGCTTAATATAGTATTTCTGCTTTTTATAGGATTTGTGCTTTAATATACTATTTCTGCTTTTTATAGGATTTGTGCTTAATATAGTATTTCTGCTAAATGTAGTATTTATGCTTAATCATACTATTTCTATATTTTCTGCCAGGCAGCCAATCCTCTGTGCGGACTCAGACACATATCACATATCAGGGCCTGCACGGCTTCCCAGCCAGCCAATCATGTCTGAGGTCTTCCGTTTCCTCTCTCGTCATATCTCAGCGACGGTTGTACAAAGAGCAATGAAAATCGCAGTCAAAGTACACCAAAGTCCGCTGATTCACCCAGTACAAGAATTATGCTTCTAGTCCACCTAGTTTTTGAGTTACACAACGTTTGTAACTCCAAAAAACGGCGTTTTTCGCCTCTCACCGGGATCTAATTCTGACTGCTCATCACCCCTGTTTTTCAAAACGGCTCCTCTCTTTCCCAGTGGCGCAGTTGGTAATGACACGGGTCTGCAAGCCAAAGATCGTGGGTTCGATTCCACCTTGGTCAACATGTTTTTTTCCCTACAAATTAATACACTGTCACAGACCAGTAATTCATATTCATCATTTATTACAATTCTGCAAACTTTTATGATTTTACCAGCTTTTCTAATATGGACCTCACATTCTTAACACTCCATGGCACAAATACTCTTCCCTTTAGGCTCTGTGTATGTGTGTGTGTGTATCAATATTTCTCCCATTTTAAAGTATTACTCCTCCATAATTGTATTTCTGTTAAATCAAAGTACTTTTACTACATCTTAGTACTTCTGCTCAATCATAGTATTTCTGCTAATCATTGTTATTATGCTATATTGTAGTATTTCTGCTCAATCATACTATTTCTACTATATTATATTTTTCTTTCTAAATATAGCATTTCTGCTATATAATTGTATTTCTGCTATGTTATAATATTTATGCTAAACCAGAGTATTTGTGCTGTATCATAGTATTTCTGCCAAATTATAATATTTGTGCTAAATTTGTCTTAATTTAAAATTACAATATTCATAGTTCATCACAGTGTCTCTGGTAAATCACAGTATTTCTGCTATGTTGTACTATTTTTCTAAATCATAGTGTTTCTGTAATGTTTAAGTATTTTTGGCTAAATATATATTTCTGTTATCTTATACTATTTCTCCTAAGTTCTTGTATTTTTGAGAAGTTATCATGTTTCTGGTAAGTTACAATATTTCTGCTAAGTTCTGCTATGCTATTGTATTTCTGCCAAGTATTATGTTTCCTCTAAGATATTGCAGTTCTGCTAAGTTATTCCATTTTAGCAAAGTTCCTTTGCTTCTGCAAAGTTTTTACAATTTCTGCAACTTTTCAGATTTTTCAGCTACTTTTTGCATACAGCTTCAGCTTTAAAGCATCCACACTGCATTTTCGCAGGAAATGCAAATTTTTCTAGTCTACAGTTACTCTTTGGGCTCATTTAGTAATAACGATACTTGTAATAACTGTAGCCTGTTTGCAGCTCTGGAGGCCAGGATCACTGAATGGGAGACTCGGCTTAACACCCTTAAAAAAAGATACTAACCCCAAGTTGCTCTCTGATGCATCCAGCGAAGTATGAATATGTGTGTGAATGTTAGATAGAAGGCACTCACATAGAAAAAAGTACATTATACATTTTTAATTTTGGAAAAGTTGTGATTAGTGTGGTAACTTTTGGACCTCCCTCCTGAGCTACAGCCAGCCAAGCATCCCCTATGTCAGTGGTTCCCAAACTTTTTTTGCTGGGCCCCCCTTTGTTTTACAAGAAAAATGCTCGCACCCCCCCTCCCCCCTCCGCGCGCCTGCGCACGCACAACCACACACACCCATATTTTGCTCCATTGCGGTTTATTTCACACCTCAAACATTTAGTAAACAATTAAACAAATACAAGTAAACTGCAATAAATTAAAGGTTGTAATAAAATAAACTACTAACTCTTTTACGCTACGTCCGCACCTACACGGGTATTTTTGAAAACGCAGCTGTTTCGTCCACGTAAACGACGTTTCAAATCACCGAAAACTGAGATTTTTAAAACTCCTTTTTTGCGTTTACGTGTGGACGAGGAATACAGAGTTCGTCACACAACGTCAAAGGTATGAGTCTTTTTCACGTCACGCTGTGGCCACGTTATTGTTTACATGAGATGAATTGCAGAATGGAGATAGAGACAAAATACTGTTACAGTTTTTTCTGTATGCTTAAGCACATTTTTTGTAACTATTGGCTAATTTTGCAAAACTCTTCACACAAATAAGAAAACCTGTCACCCAATAATCAAAACATTGTAGTTCTCTTGCAAAAGCAAACACAGCTGGATTAACTCTTCACACCTTCGTAAAAATGGTGTTTCCGTATCAAACAGTACACACACGCCATCATCTACTAAGCACACAATGCGCCAACTGCACACTGATGGTATGAATACAAAACACATCTGGCTTTTGCTTTCTCTGTGCACAAGGTAGGCTATGTCAGTTTGAGCTCATACTTCTGTCATAGATCCATAAGCATAGAGGGATCCAAACTTCAAGTACTGCTGTTTATTCAAACACATCAAAACAAACACAAGTGTTTATTTCCAAGTATAGGATTATTTGCAATCGCCATAATGACTATATGGGTTACTTGGTCTGCAGTGAACATGCTTCCTCTGCCCCAGCATCTGGTCATCTAGCAATTCTGTAAAGTAACAACTTCAGTATTTTTACATCAATGGTATTGGTGTGTTTCTCATTGGCAAATGGCAGTGCTACAAATCTTTGTGCGAAGTGACTGTACTAACCGATTCTCATTTCAAGATGTCCTTATGGTACTTGCTACAGTGTAGCGGCTCGAGTTAGGCTGGACCCGTTGGCCAGCTTCCCTCAGGGTCATTCCACGGTTGATGACATGGTCCACTATTGTAGCTCTGATGTCATCAGCAATTCTATTTCTTACTCTTCCTACCCTTCCTCTCCCCCCTCCTCATCTTCCTCTCCCCCCTCCTCGTCTTCCTCTTGCTCCTCCTTGTCCTTGTCGTCCTCTTCATCCTACTTCTTCACCTCCACGTCCTCTTCCTCGGCCTCCTCTACTTCTCACTCTTTCTGCTGCCTCCATTGTACTCCGCACACACAGCTTACCTGGATTATAGTGCTTAGGCTGATTGCAAAGTGAACTAATTATCTAAAAAAGTTTTCACATGTGAAAGTGTGCCAGACAGTTGGCAAATTAGTGTTAATGATAGCCATACATGTGTATACTTTTGCTAGGAGTGTGTTGGAAATTTGGTAATTGAGTGTTGTGCAGTGAATTGTGCCTACAGTTTTGCAAAGTGTGTGTTACAAAATTGCAAACTGAGTGCAAAGCAGTTTTTGTGCTTTTAGTTTTGCAAACTCAGTGAGTGGTTTTGCTATAAGTCTGAATAGTTTTAGAGATTGTGCTACAGGAATCACAGTTAGGGTTTAAGCAATCAGAAAAAACTGTAATCTAACTGTCTGCAGGTTTTACACGCAGTTACTGTCCCTCCATTTACAAAGGCAGAGGCGTCATGGTGTGATTATTTTACATGTAGTTGTTTTTTCCTGTGTAATAATATTCAACATTGATATCAACACATTTTTCAAAAAATGCCTCTCTGTGCAAAATGGGTTCAAAAACATAAACAGCTGTGGGATCCTGTTTGTCCGTGATTTAAACAGCCAGCAGCCCAGCGCTGCTCCCGACTAAAGGAAAAGCAATCCTGCAGGGAGACCTACCTCGGCACTTGTGCAGGTGAAGCCAGAGGGAAGATTTGCTTCACCATATTTTCTAGTCTTTGGCTTAGAATGAAGTTGGTTTGGAAACATATTCAGCGATGCTTCATCTCCTGCTTTGCGTTTCTGTGGGCGCCCCGTGCTAGCAGTGTCCAAGCGTTTTGTTTTTTGTTTTTTCCTCCCCTTTTCATACCGCGTCCCCCCTGCAATGGCTCTGCGCCCCACCCCTCCCCACCCCAGAGGGCAGGCCCCACACTTTGGGAAGGTCTGCTCTATATGAATGTTTGAATGTGATTATATGAGCTTCTGAGATGTCACTTTGTATTTTGTCTTGCAGCTAAGTTCTGGGCTGAATTAGGAGGGAAGAAGGAGTACCAGACATCAGAGAGGCTGGAGAGTCCGTCTATGACTCATCCTCCTCGACTCTTTGGATGTTCCAACAAGACTGGCAGGTTCACAGTAAGTTTTTAACATGTGTCATTTTCCCCTCATGAAGGAATCTATTTGTTACTTTTCTTTCCAGCATATTATTTATTCTGTTTTTATTGTATTCGTTTATAATAATAATAATAATAATAATAATAATAATAATTAATAATAATAATAATAATAATAATTAATAATAATAATAATAATAATAATAATAATAATAATGTATTGCATTTATATAACCGAACCACGGTCGCCCCCAAATTATGTGCTTAACAAATTTATTAGACCGCTCATCATAAAAATGAGAAAACAAAAACCTGAATTTATATTATTTATCAGACTAATGACATTTTTTTGTTTTGTTTGTATTACTTTTGCCACAGTTTCCCACAGATGTAACAAACTAAGATGGAGGGACAGTTTTCTTTGCTTACTATCCAATCGTAGTTGGAGGCTCACATTTGAACTATTTATGGGTCATGATTAGCGCCTCTGTGCTGTCTTTCAGTCCAGCTTTGCCCAGCCACTGGTAGCACTTCTGGATGTCAGTCACTTGTGTTAAATAGGCCCTTGACAGCATAAGACCCACATCATGTATAGCTGCTTCACCAGTAATTATGTGCTGTTATATTTTCCAGTCAGACAATCAGCACATTTGGTGTAGTGCATTTAAACAAACTGGAAGACCCGGATATCATTAAACACTCCTCTAAATAATAAATGCAGCCTTTATAACACAGGTTACAGTTATTCACAGCACTTCAGTTACCTGTTACATTCCCCATGTGGTCAGGTGGGACAGTTGTGCTATAACACAGTCCCGTGTCATTAAAACCTACATTCTGAGCTTCTAATCCTCATTCAACTTTGTCACATTGTGCTAAACACTGATCATTGAAATGTAGATGAGTTTAAATGTTATTGTATGCAGATTGAAGAGGTTCCAGGAGATTTCACACAGGATGACTTAGCTGAAGATGACGTGATGCTGCTGGATGTCTGGGACCAGGTACTCAACTGTAGAACACGACAGACATCTTAGGACAAAGTGAACAACCCCTCACACGCACTCTTCTGTTGTAGGTGTTTGTCTGGATTGGAAAGGATGCAAACGAGGTGGAGAGAGCTGAATCTCTCAAATCTGGTGAGCTTTTGACTTTAGTCAGAATGTTATTAGGTAGCATGAGACAAACTATAGTAATATTCAAAGATCTTTGAATAATAAAGAGACTATTTGAACCTGTTCTGAAATACAATAGCTAACAGCTAATGGGAACCCTTAATTATATTGTTTTTTAGATTTTTATCTACAAAATTCATCCTACAACAAACTTTTGTTTGAGGTTCCTGTCTGTGACTCACTGTCTCCTCTGCAGCCAAACAGTACATTGAGACTGACCCAGGGGGGCGTGACAAGCTGACTCCTGTGGTGGTGGTGAAACAAGGCCATGAACCTCCCAACTTCACAGGCTGGTTCCTGGCCTGGGACCCTTCCTACTGGGACTCTATCACCAGGAGCGTGAAGTCTCTGAATGTTTAAAACATTCACATGATAAATCACCAGAACACAGAAATATTATCATCTTTATAATCAGCACAATTTAAATATATATCTACATGTGTACTGTCAGTGGTAGATTTCTTCCCTAAAGTTTGAATACAACAAGCCTCTAAACTTTAGAGGCTTGTTGTATTCAAAGCAGTCTGTATTAAAATCCTTTAATGGGAACAGTCCTGTATTCACTGCGCGATAAGCTGCTTTCTCATACCAGCTGAAACAACTCAGCTTGCTTTGATAGTAATCAGTAATTAAAGGTTTTTATGGCGTGCATAATGTTACGAGTGTTTATGAAGTCTTGGCCAGCTGAGGGTTTCAAATGAAGCGATACTAGCTCTGCTCATCCCTGTTAGTACTCTTATTGCAGCATATTGGATTAACTGAAGGCTACTGTGTCATCTTCTAGTTCAGCAGTCCAGGGCATTATTCTCTGGAAGGATGTTCCTGATTTTGACAATATTGTGCAGCTGAAATAAAGCATGTAAACTTCAGAGCTATATAATAAAAGTAGATAATCAAATGTTGGAAGTTCCTGCATTCTGTTCTTCTTTGGTCTGTTTTGACACATCCACGGTGCAGGCAGTGATACATAATGGTTTACACCTCCTGATGCATCATCATCTGCCAGGACACTGGAAAGTTTTCTTTGCCATCTGTTTTTGTATCGGTCCTTCTGAATCCCTTAAACTTACAAAAACAGCAGTTTTAAAAAATGCAAATGCATTGCTCTGAATATGTGTATTGGCTGCTCTGTGCTTGCAAGATGTGTACTGGGTAGCTTTATATTTACTGTGTGAATGAGAGTCATTCATTTCCTGTGAATTGTTACCACTTCTTACAACAGTTGAAACAAAAGCGTGGCAGACTCAGTGTATTTAGTCTTCTAGTTTCTCCATCCATGTATGCAAGTAGTCACAGTCTGAATGATACAATTCCACCACCAGAGGGTGAACACGAGGCCCGGTGTAGATGTTTGTATGCCCCCAGATGAATTTTACATTTCCAAGCACCAACTATGCCTATAATAATATAATTAAAAATATGTAATAAACAATATTTGGCCACGACATTCATATTGATCCAAAAGCACGTGAATCTCAACCTCATCCACAGAGCAGAGTTGCTCATTTATGGGCTGGAGACAATATGATAAAAATTAAAATAAGCAATGTAGTTGTTTCTTTGTTTTTTAAATTGTATACGTGGGGGTTAGCACTGCTGCTTCACAGCAAGAAGGTCCTACTGCACCTGTCTGGGTCCTTTCTGTGTGGAGTTTCCATGTTTTCACCCGGGGCCCGGTGACTTCTCTCCGGATACTCCCGCTTCCTCCCACAATCCAAAGACATGCGGTTAGAAGGATTATGTTAATTCGTAATTGCCCAGAGGTGTGAATGTGTCTGCCTCCCTGCGTCTAGCCCAGCGGCGGACTAGCGACCTGTCCATGTGTATCCCGTCTATAATGTATTTTTAAACCCTTCAACATAATTTAGGCCACTGTGTGTGGAATACTAACCTGAAAAACTGGCCTTCTTCCAAATAAATAAATACATAAAGAAACCTTTCGACCGACACGTGCTCTTTGATGCACAGTCCCGGGTTTGAGTGTAACCGCGAAGTGAGTCGCTAAATAAATAAATATATAAATAAATGACTTTAAATTAACAGTGTTACATAACTTTGGAAAAATTGAGGTTCATGATAATTAGACTATAAAGTGCATGGAATGAATCCCGAGTAACTCTGAAATAGTATAAACTTTTAATATCACTAGTATCCATTACTATTACAAGTATTACTATAATCCTGTTTTGACGAATGTTCCCGTGGTGGGCGTACAACACGAGGGGAATCATATAAATAGGCCACTGACGCTGGACTCGCAGCTCTTGTATGATTACAAGATTTTACACGAGGATGACGCATTATGGGGAAACCTAAAGCTATATAATTTCCTATTTCAAACCCTTCCAAACAACAGCACCCTTTGTATCGGTACGTTTAATGAGCCCTTCCCTTTTACGTGATTTGCTTCGAAGCCTGTGGAAGTCAGCCAAACCAAATATGCCGGCTGTGCTTTTATTTTGAAAAGCGAAAGCGGAAATAGTGGTGTTTATTCTAGTGGTCTTAGCGCCGCTGCGGAATGGAGAGGTAGTAGTAGTTGTAGACGTCTGAGGAGGTGACAGCGGTGGGTGACCGAACCTGTGGACGCACTGCCAGCTGTGATGGGTTAACATCGTTTGTCGAGGTACGTTTCTTACGCTGCTACTGTGACGGATCCGTTCTTCTGTAGAAAACAGCGATAACAGCCGGGGAAATCATATCCAACCCCAGAGACAGCTCAAATTAATTTCCCCTCAATGAAGCAAATTGCGTTGATGTCCGCCTGCTTTGTCATGTAACGCTAACCTAACGCTGCTTTATATGTAAACGTGCATAAAAGGCCCAAAGCGCTAAGACTGCTTTTTCCAACACTTGTTGGCTTTGCAAGCGAGTCAGGTCTGTAACACAGGACCCACAGCACTGCACGCCAGACTCCATTTGGATCGCTCACAAACTGACGCCGCTCCTCGGATAACAAGCTAAAGGTATTCACAGTGTTTGATATAGATAGAGATGTTTCATCAATCTTTATTTGCCATATTTCAGTTCGGGCTAACTCTTAATACTAGGTTTTAATGAAGCGCTGGTGGCGCATCACTTATCGCCGTCTCCGTGTGTCTACCTTCAGTGAGCAGGGCGGGAGCGGCCGCTGCAAACCGGGCATAAAGTCATAGAAACGCAGTTTTCTTGTCGTCGGAAACGTGTTCATCAGCGACCTCACGGGAGCCCAGTTCTTCAGCACATGTCGATTTGTTAGTAACGTAAGATTTATTTTAATTTATAGATTAGAAACGGACCTTTCGGCATAAAGAAGTCGGTTGCCAAGCAACACATTTTTAAAGCAACATGTCAGTGTGCTCAGTTTAAAAAACACAAAGGCCGGTTTTGATCTGTCCATGGAGGTGACGGATGGATTTGGGGGGAATTTAAAAGATCTCCTTCCCCGTTGTTTACGAGTCACACGTTGAAGTGCGCCCTGCTGTTTTATTCCGAGCTCAGTCCTCAGTGTCAGGATAATGTAAGGGTGTGTGGGTTTATTCACTTCCTGGGTGTTTGTGCCCTTGTAAAGTAACAGAGTGCTGTGTGTTTGCATGCCTTGACTCATGCATTTCTCCTCTACATTCTAGCTTTTGCTGCAGTTCTTTCACAACAAGATCAACCTCGGGAATATTTAGTGGCAACTTCTTTCGGTCTGTGTGCCAAGATGGGAAACGGACTGTCGGATCATCGCTCGCTGCTCCCCTGCCTCCCCTGCTTTCAGGCTCTTCACATTGTCATTCTAGGACTGGACTGTGCAGGCAAGACCACTGTGCTGTATCGCCTGCGTTTCAATGAGTTTGTGAACACTGTCCCGACCAAGGGATTCAACACAGAGAAGATCAAAGTGTCTCTTGGAGGCAGCCGTCGGACTGCGTCTTTCCACTTCTGGGACGTAGGCGGCCAGGAGAAGCTGCGGCCTCTGTGGCGCTCGTACACGCGCTGTGCTGATGGCATTGTGTTTGTGGTGGACTCGGTGGATGCCGAGCGCATCGAGGAAGCCAAGGCAGAGTTGCACAAAATCACACGGCTGGCAGAGAACCAGGGTGTGCCGGTCCTTGTGGTGGCTAACAAACAGGACCTGCGCAATTCTCTTAGTTTGCCTGAGATGGAGAGCATGTTGTCTCTAGGTGAGCTCAACACTGCCACACCCTGGCACCTTCAGCCTGCTTGTGCCATTATCGGCGAGGGACTGCAGGAGGGACTGGAGAAGCTCCATGCCATGATCATGAAGAGGAGAAAGGTGCTGCGGCAGCAAAAGAGGAAGAGATGATGTGCTAGTAGAGGAACTACAAACTATGAGCAGAATCTAAAGCTGCACAAGTACGGCTGAATACAACACTGGGTTTAGCTGGAACAGTGATACCCATTCTGTCAGTTGCCCCTTTTTGTTTGGGTCTGTTCCTTCAACTGAAATGGCTTAAAGTCAGCCGGTGCTCCCACTGAGGACAGTGCAATGGATTCTGAATGCAAACAGTCATTCTAAAGTTAGTGCAGCAATACGCCGAACTCTCAAAGAAGGACAAAAAGCTTTTGTGTTTATTTGTTGAAACATGCGCTGTACCAACTTAAAAACAATCAAATAAGTCTCGATCGTGTATATTCCACCAAAGCTCTGAAAGTTGACAACGACTCACTAAGTACAGAATCACTACTGACTCCTAGAAACAGCGTCACGTGTCACAATCGCTACAGTTGAATAGAAGCTATTTTTCAGAGGTGCGCCTGTGTTCCTGCTGACACGTCTCGATGACATGACAAGAGTACACTTACACTAATTGATTTTCATCATCTGGTTGCTGTTTAAACATAACAGTAATCAGTTTCTTCACTTGACAGCAGTGTCAAAAGACCAAAATGTGACTCATGTGAGTTGTTTTCTTAGCATGAGGCTGCTTTTCAATCAACTGCACCAAAAAAGGGCTTTATATACTCTCTGATATTAGATTATATTACAAAATGTAGTCAGTAATTGACGTTAGTGCTCAAATATTTAAAGCTAACAACTATAACTACTATCATAAAAAACCACAGTGAGAAGTCAGAGTCACACTTGGAGTAAGATGACAATCAGTCAGCATTATACTTTTTGATATGCAAGTGTCATCTGCATTGCTGCTAAGATGTTAGTTTTCAGGTCACCAGCCACATTTCTTCATTTATTAAGTTCTTCAGGGTCATGTCTCCTTGTATTGCAGAACATAGACTGGACCCACATGCTTTACTTGCATTGTTGTAATGTCTAAGCCCGTCCTGTGATTACTGTGCCACTGTCAGTGCTGCTAACATTGGATAAAAACTGTGATGTTAAACGTCATCTGAGAATTTATTTTCATGTTCAGTGAGTAGTGATTGTTTCTTGTTTTTTTACTTCCTTTTTGTTGTAAGGCATTAATAATACACTTTTAAAAAGTAATGCTCAAGTACTTTTTTGGACATCGATTAACATGATCAGAGTGGAAGCGTCGAAGCGTTTGGGTGTATGTAACTGTCGAACTGCTGCTGCAGTGAGATAAAAGGCTGAGCAGTTCTTACTGATTGAGTTAAGGATTCGCAGCCACCGGCTTTTGCACGTCTCAGTGCTATGAACGCGAGCTTGTTCGCTTATTCAAAGGTAGCCTAACGAGGCTTTACAAGTTTACAATTTGGTAACTTTGTGGGAAAAACAGAAGCAAACTCGGTGTCACTGGTTCCAGCTGCACCACATGTGCTGTTGAAGGTAAACGTGTTATCGTGTGTCCTTGTGTGTAAGCAAATGGGTTGTGTAGCACCAAACTACAGGACTGCATCCAAAGTCGGGGTGCCCATGGATGACCGTGATGGACAATTATTTGCTATAAAACACGACTTTGATTCCACTTCTTCAAAGGAAGGGAATTGTACATCATGTGTTCAGTTATACTAATAAAAGTACATTTGTAAATCCGTTGGTTAAACAGGGCCGTTAAAAAGTGTTTTCTCCCTTCCTAATTTTTATTTTTTTGGCATGTTTGTCATACAAATCTTTCACACAAAGATGCCCCAAGTAAATACAAAATGTAGTGTTAAGGGATTATTTAATTTATTGAGGCTGGTGGGCTTACTTGCTTTTATTTGTTACTAAGGGAAAAGCTACCAAAGCCAACATGCACTGTGTGGAAAAATATTAGCCTAAACCTAATAACTGCTTGTGCCAGCTTTGAGAGCAGGAACTGCAATCAAGCATTTGAAATAATGTAATGAGTCTTTGAAACTACTGTGAAGGAGTTTTGGCCCACTTGTCTTTACAGAAGTGTTCAGTTGAGCCGTATTTGAGGATTGTTGAGCACGAACTGCTTTTCATGGTCATTCCAGAGCATCTGGATCAGTTTTAAGGTCATTTCAAAACATCCAAAACCTTGATGATGGTTTTCTTTGTACCATTTCGAGGTGGACTTGTTGGTTTGTCTTGGGTCATTGTCCTGCTGAATAATCCGAGTGCACTCAAGCTTCAGGGCATGAACTGAGCTGGATTTTCTTGTAGAGCTAAATTCATGGTTCCATCAATTACAGTACGTTGGTCAGGTCCTGAAACAGCAAAGCAGCCCTAGATCATCACACCACCACCACTACATCTGACTTTTAACTGTGTCACCCACTCCTTTGTGGATAACGGCTTTCACCATGGTTCAATGAAGTCCCAAAGACTCTGTTTCTAAACTGCTCCTGAGTGTCTTTAGCTCGAGGACATGCTGTGTTTTGCTTTATGGGATCTTTTAGCTACTTCATTTTATCAGACTTTGTGATTTCTTGGGTCATCAGGTCTGAGTGTAGCTTTTCAAAAACTCTGGTTAATCACAGTTCATTCATGGTTTAATAAGGGGTGGTAATTACTTTTTGCACACAGGGTTCAGATGAAATAATTAAAAAACTAATATTGTATTAACTTTGGATATCTTTGCCTAATATTATGAGTATAATATATATGTAAGTGTGACAAATATGTAAAATAAATAAGAAGTCAGGAAGGGGGCAAATACTTTTAAATAAAAGTAAAATAGAAAGTTGCTCTCTGTAGCACACGAAAGTCAAATATCTGTCCTGATAATCTGAAAGTGTTTTTATCTGAACTACGTGCTGGATGAACACAAAATCGGCCATTTAGTAATCGTTAGTTGGCAGTTTGCAGAAATGGTCCTGCTATCTCTTCACTCGGTGCTAAACGGTTGGTTGGGTGGGGTCTTGTCGGCAGGCAGCCAGACTCTTCTCAGGAAACCGAAGCAAGGAAGGGAGTGGTTCCTCTTACATTATCACCGTATCCTGTTCTCAGCTCTGAAAACTGCAGTTTACACCGTTCACAGTTGGAGCTGACTGGGAATCAGATTAGAAGTCCACACAGCTTTCAAACGTCCCACCTCAACCCTGCACCCCTCTCCGCTGCTGAGTATACACCCCAACATGGATGGCCATGCTTTTAAAGTCTTTTTTTCTCAGCTGTTTAAAAGACTGGAGGAACGGCTATGAAAGATATGCTGCTAGCCACTGGTGCTGCTACTGTGACCCCTGAGTTAGCTCAAACTCACATTAGCTGACCTGAAAGTGATTCAGAACACTGTAATGGTTGGAGACCAGTATGCCCTCAGTAACAGTCATCCTCCAGTGTCCTTAGCAGGCAGCCGACTGGACTAGATACAAGTAGAAAAGTGGTGGCGTCTCTCAACCTCATTTTGACCTCATTCTAAACACACACGTAGAACCTGATAGAGAAGCTGCAGCCAACAGTGTGTCTTCACTAATCCATCATTAATGAAACTCCAGGACCAAGAAGCCCAGGACTGGTATGATTATGTAGAAAAAAATGACACCTTCAGTAGTGTTTTACTGCCGGCGGTCACCCTCCAGCCAAAGGGAAAAGGCAGTCTTGACCTGGCACGCCGCTCTACTTTGTGTAATGGAAAATACACAGGGGTGCTGGGCAGATACTGCTGTGGAGGAAGGAAACTGCAGATGCTTGAATGACAGCCTACCGACTGTGTTTAAAGTGGACATGACATGTAAAAAGGCTCATTTACAGCACGGAGCCCTGCTCTAAAAACTGTCACAGACTTAACTCTGTGAAGCTGGAGAAGTTCTTAGAACATGTTTAGCACCACCATGTGCCAGAAGAAGAACATGACATGATATGTGTCTTATACACCCAAAGAGTATGGTATTGATACACTAATGCAGTCACTCTTCATGTAGATTTAAGTTTACACAGCCCACCATGGATCGCAAGAGTTTTAAAAGCTCATCTATTCTCCTAGTTTACACAGTATTTGTGTTCTCTTCGGTCAGCAGTGGGTTTTGCCTCTGAACTCTATCATAAACGCCATTTTTGCCCAGTTTCTGTCATATTGTGAAATCATAAACACTGGCCTTAACTGAGGCAAGTGAGGTCGGGAGTTCTTTAGCTGATGTTCAGGGTCCTTCTGTGACCTCCCAGATGAGTTGTCAGTGCACTCTTCGAGAAACTTTGGTAGGTTTAACAATGTTTCCTGTTTCCTCTATTTGTAAATAATGGCTTTAGGTATGATTTTACTCCACTGCCGGTGTGTTCGGGATCATCGGCATGCTGAATAATAAAGCTGTTTCCAATCAAATGGCTTCCAGATGGTACTGCGTGATATCTGACTGTACTCTGCTGCATTCCCAACACCATTTGCTGAAATGTAGTAGAACAAAGAACACACACCAAGAATACTTATTCAGTGTTTTTCACTAAGTAATCTTAATAAAGAAGACTGTTGCTACCTCAGAGCACATTGTGTACTGTCGGTCCTGCGTGCTGCACAACAACATTCAGTATATAGTATTTACTGTTATTTACACTTAGCTAGATTAATGCGATGGTGCTGTGTTTATTATGTTGCTCTCTTTTTTTGCTTCTCTTTTCTTTCTCTCAACAGGTGATCCAGGACATTTGTATATTTCTCACTGTCCCTCTTCCTTCTGTTTTCCTTTTCCTTCATCTTTCTCTCTCCCTTTCCTATCCCCCAGCCATGTCTGTCCCGTCTGTAACAACTGAAAATTAAATTAAATTACACCAGTAAAAAATACCTTATTCTATTCTTAGAATCAATCAACAGACAAGTTCGACTTATTACCGGTGATCCAGAACAATCTCTCCCAATGTTGCAACAGGTCAGACACCCCAAATTCTTGAAGGACCCCGTCTTAGGGACATGATCAAATGTCCAAGTCCAAGTCCACAAAACAGATGTAGACTGGAGGGTCAAACTGTCACCACACTCGAATATAGAATAAAGAGCTGGTCCGGTGATCTGCAACCAAGATCAACATCACACTGATGCAACTGAATCAGAGATTCAACTTCCCATCGCCGAGTAGATACTCACGAAATCAAAGGATCGGTGAGAAAATGTGATGCTTCCAGCTAGCTTTGAACCAGAACTCTGAATTTAACTTACTGTATCCCAAGTTGTATGTTCAGCATTACTTACTATGGTGATTTAACCAGATTTTAAAAAGAGCCACTTTTGTGACACACAAAACTGACTTGTCCCATTTTTCATGTGCCACCACGCTGCCTCCAGCCAGCTCAGCTCAGCAACAGTGAAGCAATTGGGGCAGATTCATTTCGCTCTGTGGCTGACACACTTCGTACTTACAGCTTTATAGTGCAGCTCAGGCAGAGGAAAAGTTTTTTCTAGACAGTATAAAGGGGGCAAAACTGTTTTCAGTTCAACTTCACAGTGTTGCCTTCCTGCTTTTGGAGCTACTTCAACCATATATTCCAACATCACACTATTTAGAAAATGTGCTCCATCAT